TGAGAGCATCCATGTACCTCATGCATACACCGCTTCTCTTCTCACTGTGTATATTCTCTCCTCACCTCAAGCGATATTGTGGTGCAGAGCTACAAACAACTACAAGGACTCAAGAAAATAGCCTCTTTTTCCTTTTCCTCCATCATCCACATAAAAACTGACAGAAGAGAAGGAGCAATACTCTGCTCTGATTGTGTTGATAGCCTTAAATTCTACTTGCCCTTTCACTGAAGCAGGACGTTGGCCAAAGTCAATGGGAATTATATTTGTATAACCAAAGGCATGGCTCAACGCAGACAGAGTGGAGAACAATTTAGCATACAACTTATAACTTATTCCACTGCCAAATCTAAGTTTTGAAAAAGAATAAATAAAGAGGACAGAAATTGAATACTGGGGTCAATCTGCATCTTAGTCACAGACCTCTGAGCGGCAGGCTGAATGTCCTATGGCATACAGCTCTGCTCATTTTCGTGGTAGAGGAATCTTGTTAGGGTTTCAGGGTCACTGAGATTGTCTGTCTCACATTGCCATGTTCTAACTGAGCCAGCTAACACGGACCTAGCCTCAGGTGCCACCATACAGTTATACAGAACTGCACAGGGAACTTGACCTTCCTCCTGGATAGTCGGAGTGAGGGGGTCAGCAGAAACTAGCCACTGGATAGACAAGATCAGGAACTTCGATGTGATGAAGGGATCAGGCTGCTGCTTAACTCCCTGCTCAATGCTTGGATGTAGACCCCTGTCTGTCATAAACTACTCCGTGGTGGCCTTGAGGAAGTCATTTAAACTCTCTGGTCTTAGGGGAATTTTCTGGAAATGAAGCTATTGACATTAGTGTGTTGTGAAATGGTGTGGACTTAGGAGGTAGAGGGCTTGAGCTAAAAACCCCAGCGTTTGCCATTTATGAGCGTCTATGACTGTGGGCTAATGACTAGTAGCATTTTTGTTTAAACATCTGTAAATAAGAACTGACACTTTTTCAGAGTTTAGAAGAATTAACACATATACAAAGTTTGTGCTGCCGCATCTGACGAGGAGGGCCCCAATGCACGCTGGTTTCCCCCTTTCATTCATTTACTAGCTTGGATACTTATGGATCATCCCATTGCACTCGGCTGCATTCAAAGCCTTAGGAACACAGCGACATATGGGACAACGTCCCACCCTGAGCTACTCTCACGTGTCTCCTAACTAGAAGAATGAGACTCATGAACTTCTGGGGGTCAGGACAGTCAGACGCTGCTTCCTGCCTGTGCAAGGTGGGTGCTTAACACACATGTGCGGCTGGATTAAATGGCAGACAGTGTGACACACTGCAGGTGCAGCGTCTATCAGTAAAACCTAAACAGAGCTGGGTCAGGCGCCTCCTCCTACACGATCATCTCCTTGTGTTCTGATGTTCGGTCCATGTTCTTTTCTGTAGCACTCACTCATCTCCATTATTCCATTCCTATCTATGCCTCTTTGGCTCTCTTACCTCTAGGCTATAGTCGAAGAAGTTTTCAATATATTTGTGTGTCTTCGGCTGAGTTTTAAGAATGTGTAATGTCTGGGAGGTCACCTTCACTGAACCTCTCTTCCAGAAAGTAAGCTCCTTTTTGCCGTCTCTGCCATCTTATTATCCAATCTCCCCAAGAAGACGGATGGCATGGATGGCAGGCTGGATGCCTAACCAGGCGGCCTGCAGTAGCTTTAGGAAGTCTTTGTGCTTATCGGTTTCTCTCTCTGACCTTGTACTTTCGCCAGACCGCCTTCCGCTGACTACCTACTGTGTTCTGCACACACAGTGCATTCAGAATTAAGGGGGATCGAAGCAAGAATGCAGCACTCCTAACCTCTAATAACGAATGATCAAGTTCAGGACTTGTGGATGAGGAGTCTGTCCTCTCAGCCACACAGGGAGTCAAGGTTTAGATCATTGGACAGCTTTGCCGCTTTCCTCTGAACCAGTGTTTCTAAGTGCACAGTCCTGGCACCATTGATATCAGAATCCCTGAGATGTTTCTTCCAGAACAATTTTCTGGGTTCCTCCTAGAATTAATGTCTCAGGCCCTCGATAGTTGCAAGGACTGAGGTCCCTGGAATCTTCACGTTAAACCAACACCCCACGTGGTTCTTCTGCACATCCTCAAAATCAGTGGGGAGGAGGCGTATGTCCTGTCTTTGCTGTTGAATGAGTCCCCAGTTCTTCCATCCTCTGCATATGAAGTAATTCCCAGGTTGCCCACATTTGAAAATGGCTCTTAAGATGTTACTCTTGGAGTGGAGCAAAGCCACTCCAGATGTGGGCACATCAGCAGAGAGCACCACAAACTGTGAGCCTCTTCAGTATGAATGCGCTATCTGCTATAGAGGAAGCCAAACAGGGCATTGTGTGTAACGATGCCACACTGCTGGCTTGTGTTAAGATTTCAACAGAATGACTTCACCATCAGGACTCTGAAATACACTTGACAGGAGATGTATTTATCAGATTTGAGAGCAGCACAATATCACAAAGGGGAAGTAGATTATGAAAGTCTAATGCTATGTTTTTCTTTATGAGATGATGTTCTCATGTCTTGTGAGTCCAAGGTAACCTCCAGCACTCACAGATGATTTTCTGAGTAGTTAGGACCCATCAAACTCTTAGAGACTCCTTCTCTAGAACTGTATGTGAACTTCACCTGTCTGCTATCTCTAGCGTCTACTGCCCTCTAGTTACTTTTGTTTTTGTTTTCGAGATATGCTGTGTCTCAGTAGAGCCCTGGATGTCCTGGAACTTGCTCTGTAGACCAGGCTGACCTCTAACTCAGAGATCTGCCTGCCTCTGCCTCCTGAGTGCTGGGACTACAGGCATGCACCACCATGCCCGGCTTTAGTTACTTTTTCTTAAAAGAAAACATTACAACATCACAGCATTTTTTTCAGATTCTCTAATTCCAAGATCATGTCTTAAAATTGCTTCAGAATCCTGGAAGCTAATTTCATCAGGTCTAGTACTCAGATTTGTTGTCCTAATTAAAAACATTTCTAGTTTGAAAATATTTATTATTGTTGTTGTTACTGTGTGTGTGTGTGTGTGTGTGTGTAATTTGTGTGTGAGTGTGAGTGTGCCAAGCATATTCTCACTCAACTACAAAAAGCATTTGTAGGAAAAACAAAACAAAACAAAACAACAACAACAACAAAAACCCCAAAAAACCAAAAACCAAAAACCAAAAACCAGCAGCAAAGGAGGTGATTAGAAGCTCTCAGCAAGCGGCTTGCCTTGAGGGAGGACTGCCTTTTTTCTTCTTTCTTGAAGCCTAACAATTTCCCTTTCATCACTTCCCATGATTCTCCCTTTCCCTTTTTTCTTTCTTCTGCTAGCCTCAGCTCATTCTGCTTCTTTGTGTCACTGGGCACCATAGTCACAGGCACCTGCTCCTCTTTTGTCCTCGTCTGTTGTTAGGTACCCTGTCTCTCATCTTTTGTGTCTTCACACCTGAGCTCCTGGGGATCTGTGCAGCCATTTTGGTTTCTTCAGAGGCCACACTCCTACCTTCTGCATCAGAATAATTTATATGGTGCCATCTTCACAGGCTTTATTTTTTGAAGCTGCTATATTGCTAAAGCAGTTTTCCTTATATATCTCCCATTTTTTTGCTTTGTCCTTTTTTGTGTGGACTTCAGGGATCCTCCTAAAGCTAGGACAGGTAGCTGACCATACTCAGTGCCTTTTTTTTTCAAGTCCTTAGAATTATTATGTGTTTTCTAAGGGTCTCTTTATATTTATTCATTTATCCCTATATTCTTTCAATACACATCTCTCCAATGTCTATTAAATGCCTGTCAAGTTTGTGGAGAGATTTACGCCTTGTTGGCACAGTGCCTGGCACATATTGGGTGTTCAATAAATATTTGTTGAAAAGTGAAAAAGAGTTAGACTTAAGCCCAGAGTAACAGGGTCTTTCATTGATTTTTCCCCCCAACTTTCCAAGTCATCAAGCTGCCTGTAAGGCAATTAAAAAATATGTCAGGAATTCTACGTTAACAGGATGAGCCTTCCAGCCTGCATTCACAGAGCCTAGGCCCTCCCTGCTGGAACTTGCTCCTGGGGCCAAATGATTCTTTGGATTACAACAGAGCAGCCACCATCGGTCTAGGACACAATCAGAGAGAAATCAGTTCAATTCCCGTGTGTGTGTGTGTGTGTGTGTGTGCATTCAGTTTCTACCCATGATGCATCCCATCCTGTGGGATTTCCATACGAGGACCATGCTGCTCTGGTATGTTTATGGACAAATATTTTTGCCAACACTATGGCCTTCTCAGAAGTGCCTCCTACCAACTCAGACATCAAGTCCAGGTAACTGCAGTTGACAGTGCAGCATTTGACTTTCATACTACATTAATTTATTATTATTCACCATGTGTAGGCAATAAATCATGCAATTCTTTCAGGCAATTGCTTCTGATCGTCTTCTTCAACACTTTCTTGGAAGGTTACATATATATCTTCCTCTACTCATGTGTGTGTCATAATTTGTCCTGTAAGGTGGGCATGTTTTTCTTCCCCCTTTTCGAAATCCACTTTAAATCACTATTAGTTAGGATCCTTTTATCCTTATCTATGTGATCTCTGGAAACAACACACATTCATTCTTTTATTCCCTTTGGTCCTTTGCAACAATGATCCTCGAAAGAGAAGCCTGCTGGCGACCTTGCAAGGCTTTCTGCCCCATCTATCCAGGACATGATTACTTTCCCAGGAAGCTCCCTGACTTTGGGTTCTTCGCACAATGCATTAAATCCTGGTGCTGCCAATGACCTTCTGGTCCCTTAGTAGAGACATACTAAACTCATTCTCTCCTGTTCCATTCTCTCCTGCTTCCAGACTCCAGCAGATGATATCCCATATGCTCCTTCTATGCTCCCACACCCCACCACTTGCCCACTTGCTCAGCTAACTTCAGTTTATCCTTGAAGCTTTACCTCACAAAGATGCTCACCTGAAGAGCTCTTGCCGTCACCCATGCTGTCTGCCCCCACAGAAGTAACTCCACACATCGTCCCTGTCCCTTAGTGCCTGCCTTTCTTGAATTGCTAACTTGCTTATTGGGTTATGTCCTGTGCTTCTGGGTACACCATGCCATGGTTACCTTTCAGAAGGTCTGGTAAACTTTCTTGAACATACAAAGCAAACAACAGATTGGCAGAGGTGGGAAACACAATTTCACAGTGTGAGGAGGGGCAAGTGAACAATGTTCCAACAAGACTGCAATCCTCACAGCCAGTCAAAAGCACAAACTCTCAGAAAAGTAGCTATTAAGAACACAAAGTCTGAATTTTCCAGTCACAAAAGACCCGTGTATAACCATTCTTTATCACCCAGCAAACACTCTCTTTCTGTCCCATTGTCAATGGCCCACAGACCACATCTGCCCTTGGACAGAGTAGGAAGAAAGAAAGGGAGAGAGAAATGAATAGAAATGAGAGTATGAGTTTCCATTTATTTATTTATTTTACATATAAATCAGCTAATCTGTTTAACATTCATATTAAAGTTGTAATCACCTTTGCACACATTAAAATACAAACCAGCACAAGTAATAGGCCTTAAGAACAACATTACAATAGCTATTAGCATATAACAGCTACCTTATCAACTTACAACATCCCTATAAAATAATAACTGCATCCAGGATTGATTCGCAGGAAATTCATTCTCCCGGAGCACTGAAGCCTGACTGGGAGTCTGGGGAAGGTGAGAGTCGGACTGCTCTTGGCTGACTCAGAACAGCCCTGGGGGCTTGGAAGAGCTTGACTGGAGACAGAAGGCTCACACTTTAATTTTTCCTCTATTATCTAAATGTGGGGCAAATAAATTAACCTCATTGAGACTCCAGTTCCTCTGCTACAAAAAGGATTTAAGGACGTTTTCACCAGAGTAAGAAAGTATCTGAGAGGCTAGCAGTTGCTTAGCGATGCTGGTGTATTTCCAAGGCTGTCAGGTGCTACAGGGGGTAGGCTGGTTAATCTTGATTGCCAACTTGACAGGATTTAGAATCACCATGGAAACATAGCTCTGGGTATGTCTGCAAGAGATTTCTCCAGATTAGGTTAGTTGAGGTGGGAAGACTTACTCTAAATATGAGTCACCATTCCACGGGCTAGGGTCATGAACCGAATAGCACAAAGGAGCAAGGGCATTGAGCAGCAGCATTCGTCATGGCGTCCTTCGGACTGTAGAGACAACGTGACCAGCCGCCTGCAGAGCCTGATACTATCTATGACTTCCCCACCACCATGGACTGCACCTTTGAACTGTGATCCAAATTAAACCCTTTCTTCCCTAGGTTGCTGTATTCAGGTATTTTTTTTTTTTTATCACGACAAAGAGTACAGTAAATGATACAGGGACCAAGAGCCGCACAGAGAGGATGCTGCTGAGAACTGGAGGAGCCGCACACAGTACTGGAACAATCTGCTCATGTGTTTACTCCTTCATCACCGTTGAGCACTGTCAGAGATGATGGGAGCTACAATCAACGGTAAAACAGGGTTCTCTCCTTAGAGGGCTCTCTGTTGAGTTGGAGAGGCATCCCATCAAGTAAACAACAAGCTGGATGGAACTGAACACGTGATGCAGGAGAATAGATTCAACACATTCAGGGAGAATGAAGAACAGAGAGACGGAACGGGAATCAGGAGATAGCTTCATGGAAGATGTGGTATCTAAGGAGAGCCAGTGCTTCACCAAATGATGAGGAAAAGCTATCTGGGGCTGAAGGGATTGCATAAACAAAGACATTGCACATAGAACATGTGGGGAGCAACACATTTCTTATTTTTCTTTTCTAGGGACAGAGTTTGGAGAGCAAGGAAGGAGGCAGAGCTGCTGGAAGCCGTTGATGCTAGAGGTGGGGGACCTTCCATGTGGGATGAAGTTGTGATCTGAGGTTCCCCACGTGGGCCTCTGTGTGGAAGGCAAAGGGTAGAAAGTGAACTTCCTAAGAGAATGTCAACTCTGGCATATGTTCTAGGAAGACACAAATAGTGGAGGGTGACCATGGTCATGGATGACTTTGGGTGAAATGGAGACTGGATGAGACGCTGTAGCAGTTTGGGAAGAGAGACGCCTGTTTGGGCAATGGAAGAAAACATGAAAAGACCCAGAGAAACGGGTGTCACAATAGAGGGATGGCTGCATATGGTAGATGAGAGAGACTCTCATACAAGAGCTGAGTGTCAGGAATATGATGATGTCCCCTGGCAGAATTAGGACAATGGGGAAAGAAATCAGGAGTTTGGTTTTCAGAATACTACAATGAAGTCATCAAGATGCATACAAGAGAGCATCATAGAGCAGGAAACAGAATGGACTCCGGTAAGTATTTGTTGTTCCTCTTAAAATTTTCTGCCAGAGTATTGTTAGGAATGTGAAGTTGGGACTAGACAAAAGTCAGTTAGGTTAAGATAGCATAATTTAGGGGTTGCCAAGAAATTAAAACTTTTAGAAATGAGTGTGGCATATTTAGCTCTCTATGGGTTACCATTAACACTATTTAAATTATTACATAGTACTATATACTTCTATGATTGGCTTAACATTTTTTATGCTGACTTTAATATTTGAAGTCTGGTACCACAGGCCCACATCTTGGAATGACCTATTACCCAGATTATATATTTTTTTTTAACAAAGGGAGAAGAAAATGGCCAGTTGAATTACAGTGGTAGCCTTATTTTTACGAGCCATCCTCTCTTATTTATTCTTCAGGTTTAGCCCTTGACTGAAGCAGGCCACTGAATAATGCTGCCATGTTGCCGTGACATAGCACAGACATAGACTGACTTTCTATGGGAACTTCCTGGCCTTCAGACCCACTGGAAGCATACAGCCTAATGGCCATCTTCAGTTGGAAAGCAGCAAAGAAAGGTCATGTGTGTCCTCGATGTAGGCAGAAGAGGGTGTACCTTTAGGGCCACTGAGGAAAGGCTCTCTGAAAAGAACTTGTCCTCTACCACCCAGCTCCCTGAGGGGAGAGCAGTGAAACTTGTCTGGAAAATAGCTTGCCTTTTACAGTGCTGTTAAACCTGTGTGTCTGAATGTCTAAGGCCTCAAGGCTCACATTCTCCAGGGCCTTTTCTCAATGGCCCCTTCAGTGTGGCAGAAGTCCAGGACTGGGGAGCTGGGGTGCCCTCCAGCTCCACTCCAGAGGCAGTCTGTCCTCAGGGTGCCTCCCAGCCCTGTGCCTGCAGGCCTCTGGTGGCAGTGCTGGAGGACAGATCTGAGCTTCTGCCTGGCACATTCCCTTGCTGGGGACTCTGCCAGGGATGGCAGCCTTTAAACGCCTCATTAATATTCAAATCTATTCAAGTCATTTCAATTTGAATTCTATGCATATTATCAGATAGAACAAAATGCAAATATATACAAATTCATCCATATGAAGAAATAAATAGGGGAAGCTGTGCATAATGGGATTATAATCATTCTCAGAGTTTGTCTCTCTCCTTTAATTCCCCAAGCCCCAAGGCCTGGAGTTGTTCCTGATGTTCCCACCTGGGACTGTTTAGGGCACAGGTGCTTTAAGGGATGAACCCTTTATTTAAAGACGTTATAGTGAGGTACTGGTTGGTTCTCTCTCTGGCTCTTCAGGTAGAGTAGGAGGGGCTATAGGTAGGTGAGGGCAAACTTTGGGAATTTCAGGAGCTGCCTTAGCCAGAGTTGATCCCTCTGGCCCTTGGCAAGGCATCCTGAATTGACCTGCAAATGTCTGGAGAAGGGGTTTCATGGTCCCAAACCTCCCCAAGAGTTTTGATGCACCTGTTGGACACCTGGATGGGGAGAGCTAAACTCTCAACTTTCTCTAATATTCTCCAGTGAGAAACAGGTTTCATGAAAACCTTACGGGACATTGACTGAATTCAAAGAACAAAATGATCCTGGGTGACATCTGAGGGTCGCCTCTGCTCCATCAAGGGTAAAGACAGGCAAACAAACCCATCCTCCGGTTCTCAACCTTCACATCCATGCCGTTTCCTGCTTCCTTTCCCCAGACCCTCAGTCAAAAGTCAAATGTTCAGGCACAAGCCAGGGGAGAAAAATGCAAGTGTAGCCTGTGAACCTGCCCTATCTGTAGCAGATCCAATACAGAAAACCACAGCGGGCATCTGTCCTTTTTCTCGCACGGTTGTTGCTGCTGAATCTCTATTTCATTTCAATTACTCCAAAGACAGGAGGAGGCCCCCGCTCTATGGTGTTTTAAAGGGGAGTTCTCTTGCTCTATGCTAATGAAGACCAAGTCAATTGCTATTAAGAACCATTTAGTGCGATTTAACTACAGAATCTAATAGATGCGCCCCTAATCTCTCCCCTACGGAACCCAACGATAGCAGCGACTCCATTGAATAACGCAGGCGTAATTTATGTCAATTCATAGTATAATAACCATTTCATACTGAGCAACCTTTATTTAATAATCCCCAAGTATTTTATTTATAGATATAAATGACAGAGTAGGGGTGTCATTCTCTCTGCATTACAGAGAGGGAGACTGAGGCAGAGTTCCCACATGGGCAGGATGTTTTTCCTGAGTGGAAGAGTCCACCAGCTGTACGTCATTAGTCCCTGTAGTAGGCAGAAGAACGGACCCCAAAGATGCCCATGTCTAATCCCTGAATAGCTTACCTCATGTGATCTAGAGAAAGTTGCCGTGATTGTATCAAACCTGTTGGGGCTGATAGAAACGTAAGGTTCCTTGTAAGAGAAAGGCACAGGGGTGAGAGGCAGGAGTGATGGATGATGTGAAATGCAAGCTGGAAGTTGGGATGATGGGAGGAAGGGCTGTGGGCCAAGGAATGCAGATAGTCTCCTGGAAAAATCAGGAAATGGGATTTTTTTTTTTTTTCATTCTCTGCAGCACCCAGAAGGAGCCCTGCCAACACCTGGACTCTAGCCCCACAGGCTAGACTGCTCCCCTCTGGAAATGTCAGATAGTAATTTGTGTCTTTTTAAGCCAGTAACTTTTCAAAGTCTTGCTAAGGCAGGGAAAGAAAGGAAACTGAAACCACTACTGTACGTCTTTTCTCAGCTGGGCTTCCTCTTCTCAAGTGGGGTATTCGGCAAATATTATGAGTAACTTTTTCTCACTTCCCCTGGAGATCATGAGCTACTGCTGCTGTTTGAGAAGCACGGGAAATAATTTAATTCTTTCCAGACAATGGATGCCTTGGATGCTTTTAGATCATTAGGAAGTTGGCTTTGACAAACCTCCTCACCTTTCCCTTAAGGCCCGCCCCCCACGCTTCCCCTAAGGCCACATAGAATCTAGCCTCAAAAGAGGCTAATACACTGAACAGGTCGATGCTGATCTTAGGCTCCAGCTCAACTTAACATCTGGAAACATGGAAAGAGAGGGTACCAAACACTTCTCTTCTGATGAGAGCCCTTCACCGTGTGTCAAATCACCACCCCCAAAGTATTTTCTGAGAGCCCCAAAAACTATTTGAGGCAGGCAAGAGAGAAGCACTGATTCTATTTACTCAGGAGAGTCAGACCCAGAGTCCTCCTGGCCATTGGTGCAGAGCCAACATTATATGCTTGGAGAATGGGGTTTTGAACTGGGAGCATTAGAACTTCAGGAAGTTTTTTGCCAGTTGACAGACTGACACTACATAGAAACTGTGTATGACAGGGAGAGCCATGGCCTGATGCTCACTGAAAGCTTGCCCAGGGAGGAGTTTCCTGGCACTTCTTGCTTGATATTGGTGTTAATTTTTTATACAATGGATGTGGTGATTTGAATGAAAATGGCCCCCAAAGGGAGTGGCACTACTAGGAGGTGTGGCCTTGTTGAAGTAGGTGTGGCTTTGTTGGAGGAAGTGTGCCACTGTGGGGATGGGCTTTGAGGTCTCATTTGCTCAAGGTTCACTCAGGGTGACACTCAATCCACTTCCTGTTGCCTTCTGATCAAGATGTAGCCAGCCCCATGTCTACTTGGATGCAGCCATGCTCCCTGCCGTGATAACAACGGATTGAACCTCTGAAAATGAAAGCCACTCCAATTAAATGTTTTTCCTTTGTAAGAGCTGTCGTGGTCATGGTATCTCTTCACAGCAATAGAAACCCTGAAACAATGGCCTACAATGTTCTCTGCATTTTGCCTCATTTCTAACACCCAGCTATAGTCAAGAATGACTCTCCACAGCCTACAGTATGCACGGACCCTTGTGCCTTGATGGACATCAACAATGAATACTGTTACCAAGAATCTTGATGGGACTTAGGCTCATGTTTCCTTTCTGCTCACAGTGAGGAACTCGGTCCATCACTTCTATGTAATGACACAGGAAATGCCCTGGGTTCCTAGTTCCCCAAGCACCTTTGAGTACACCATCCTATGTGAAGGAACCCAGAGAGGAGACCTAGAGGAAGTGTGCTGGAGGACCATGCATGGGACTCAGGTTTGGAGCCCCTAGATTTTCATGGAAACTGTCACACTTATTACCTTGTGTGGCCTCAGAGAGGCCACAGAATAACTTAGGCTCATTTTCCTTACCTCTTAGAGCAAGAATGAATGTTTGTTTGGGGACAAAGAACACAATCAGTGTGTTCATGATCTAGAGAATGTATATACCGTATGAATGCAAGAAGGAATTAGAGTATTACCACCCATCCCCAGGGAGTACTTGGTGTTCCACAGGTACTGCAGGTGCACAAGGCGTTAACAGTGATGAGGGGCAGGGACTCCATCAAGGCACTTCCATGGACTGGTAAATGAAATATGGCATGGAGGGCAGGCATTGTCTGTGGTGATGGACATGTGGTGGTATGTGAGATTCATTTCCTGTCTGGGAAATATTGGCTGAGTGCCTCCTATGCATCCTAGCCCAACAAAGGCATAACCCACGGAAGTCTAGAAGATTGGCCTTCTCTTCGAGGGCTTCAGAAGGGAAGTCAGGAAGGAAACAATTCACTTGTCACATACAAGTTCCCTTAGTGGGTTCCACAGAGGGCGATGGGAGGGAGGAAGACATTTACTTGAACTTATGGGAACCAAGGTGTCGAAAACGTCCATCCTGGTGGAGGGAGCTGCGTGCTCAGGGCGGGAGTTGGCCAGAGCTCCCTGGAGGAGGGGGGCACTACAGAGGAGAGGAACAAGGAAGCAACAGGACTTCAGTAGCTCTGAGTGGCTGTCCTGGAGAAACGTGCGGGAGTGGGGGAGGGGAGTCAGGCAATCCCAGCTTAATTCTGATAAACTCTGGGAGTCCAGAACTCCATCCTGAATGACTTTGCCCCCAAAAGGTGTTGGGGTGCCAGCCAAGGGACACCAGGCATCTGCGCAGAAGCCACACCCCTTGTGTGTCTTTATGTCTCCACACCTGACTATGGGACCTTCCAAACTTTGAGTATAAGGAGTACCTCATGGTCCCTCGTGGATCAGGAGAAGTGATACTGTAATTTTTTAACACTGTAGTCTGAAGAGATGGAGGCCAAACTGTCTCTCACATGTGCCTGCTCACTCTTTCTCCTGTCTACCAGCCTCTCTCAGCCATCCCGGAATGTTTTTCTCAGCTTTCAGTCACTGTGACAAATACTTGAAATAATTAATTTATAATGGGAAAGGATTCAGTTCACAGTTATTTTTTTTTGGGGGGGGGGGAGGTCCTGTCCATGACTGAGCAAACCCTTTGTTTTGGGGTCTGGAGCAAGGCAGCACATCATGACAGGGGATTGACGATAGACCAAATCCACTCACCTCCACACTAGGAAGTAAAAGGGAGCAGAGAGCGGCCGGCCGTCATCCTGTGATCTCCTTTCAAGACCCCCAAGAGACCCAAAAGCCTCCTACCAGACAATTCTTAAAGGTCACCCTAGCACCCTGTAGCAGTGCCCTGGAGACTCTGACTTTAAGACACGAGTCTTTGCGAGGCGGTCAAAATCCACTGCAGTGTGGGATAAGAGTGCCTTTGAGCGCCACTGGCTCCCCTCACCCTCCTGGTGGCTGCTGGATTCAGCAGCCCAGGCATGTGGCTTCCCTTTGGTGATTTGGATTGAAGAAAGAGGCCCCAGAGGCCTAGTGATGAGAACATCTTTTTTTTTATGAATTGAAAAATAAAATGACAGTAAGCAGCTAGCAGATCCCAGTTCACAATGAAATGAATATCAATGTCGGTGGTGGTATTGACCTTGAAGATTTTTTTTTCTAAAAAATAGAACAAGAACTCTCGTGGTGGATTATGATAGACATTCTGAATCTCTTCACCATACAAAGCAGAAAATCTCCCTTTATGGACCTGGGCATCTCTAGTGTACAGTGCTGAGTTTAAATAAACATTCTAAAGTGCAGGTGAAGAAAATCTATGCCTGCTCTGCGCTGCATTCTTCCCTGTCAGCATAGATCGTCGCACGGCTTCCCTGGTTCTACGGAGGTCGGGCAGGCCTGAAAGTCACACTGAGAGGAAGGGTTCTTGGTT